TTTTAGAGAAACAACAAATGAAACCAAAGTATGTCAGCAGAACTCCCTGCCAGCAGCAAATATACTTTTTGGCTTAAGAATTCCAATAGCAGTAAGTGCATGTATCTGGCTGAAATCCATGCTGATAGCATTGTTCCCAGCAGCAGTAGGGATGGCCGTGCCAAATCTAATAGGACAAATGCATTGGCCTCAGGCATGAATACAAAACCACGCAACTTCGGGAGCAGAGAAGCACGTGGTACAGCAGCAAGCTGTCCACCACACTCCATCACGCAGAGTGCGGTGTCCTGCCGTTGTGCACAATAAATCTTTATAATACGTGTAATACGTGTATACTTGAGTGCAAGCATGTGTATATGTGCACTGTATACAATATTTCAAAACATATTGGCGAGACGTTAACTAGAAGTTGCGGTAACTTAAATTTGTTTTGTAATTTGATCATTTCATTTCTGAGCATCCAGCTTCATGTATTGATTATGTGCAGTACTTTAATAGAATAAGTGCTCTGGTGATTTTTTTTTGGGATGACTACTGCATTTAAAAATTTAGCGTTTAGTCTGAGTCTTGCTAACTTTTACAATGTAATATGCTCACAAACTTGTGGCGAATTTTATACACTGCTGGATGCGTGCCCTCCCCATGTGGTGCAGGACATGGGGGTTATTTCACCATACTTCATCACGCTGGTCTATACAGGTGTTGTGAAAGTGGGGAGCATAAGTGCAGGAGCAGAGAAGTACAGTACAACAAGAGATGTTGCTGCCCCTGCAAAATAAATGATACAATCACGGCTATGGAGTGAGACATGGGTTAGTATGTGGAGATACTCTATGGAATTATGTTGAACTTCTTTGTCACCGTACGTAGCCAACCGTGCGAATTGGAGCTTCGGGGGAAGGACAACTAATCACAAAAATATTTTTTTAAGAAATGCATTTCCAATCCAGATTTGAAAGCGCATAGCTCCAGTGGCTTCCTAATATCGGACGAAAGAGTGTTCTAGATGGCCGCAGAAGTGCAATCTGAAAGTGTGCGATTCAGTGACTGTCTTTGTTTGATTAGACTAAATCCGCTGCGAAAATAACTGGAGTTTGTGCGACGGTTTTTGCTCCTACATTTATTTGTTACGCGTGATTCAACTGAGACCGACAGCTCGCACACAACGTTCCGATATGACTCAAATAGACATTCGTGGCTAGTGTAGGTAATGAACAAAACACGTGAACAGACAGCACCGTTTTCCAACATGCGTGCTCTTCCCACTGCTCCTTCGGAATTCTCGGTGGCCTAATCCCTAATCCCGGACCACTGAATGAGTGAATAAGAGAATGGATGCGATCGGGAAATTAATGTCTCATTTGTGTGGGCAGCAGCATAATCATGACTGGCCACGTGCCTCGCCCGTTGGATGAATGCTTTACGGGGAGGAGGAGGAGGATGATGATGATGATGATGATGCAGGTGTTGTGCAACTCTGCTCCGCCGTGCTGCAGCAAATCGCCAGCGCGTAGTGCCTCTGCATGTACACACTGACGTAGCCTCCGGCGAGGGCAGCGGTGACGCATGTGCCACTGGGGCAAGGTCGGGGGCATGGAGAATGGGATGATGGGTGGCGACCGCCATCCCATTCTGAAATTAAAACGAGGTTCGCTTTCCCTTAGCCTTACCCGACATCTTCGCCTCTCATGCTTCATCTCCATGATTAGTAGAAACCATGTTGACTCCATGCTGGCACCAGGCTGGGTCAAAGAACGCACATCCCCATGGCAGCCCATTTTGGCTGAACCGATCCTATTGAGTTCCAGGACTGGACTTCCGGGGGCTCCACTACACACTTTGTGCTACGTTCACATGGCCAGGCCAGCTAACTGGCCTACTTCGTGGAATAGTATAATGCAACCCACGTGCATGTTAAACTTTGTTTTGTAAAAACAACATACATTCACTGCCCTCTGACCATGGAGGGAAGGGTGGAGTGCGGAGAAGAGGGGACAGAGAGCGGGAGGGGTCGAGACTATGGAGTTTACATGGTTCTAGGCGTGTTGGGACAAGAAATGAGCCATGTTGGCTCAAATCAAGAACGGTCGACAACAGCTAAAGTCTGTTTTCCAATGGTCATGTAGACATAGCAATAAAACCAGGTGAGTGTCGCATTGAACTGTGACGTGGCTTAGCGGTAGTACATTCGCCACTTTTTGTAGAGGTTTACAGTTCTAATACAGCGGTCACCCTCATTATGAGTGTGGTTGTAATGGTAATACACGCAATCTGACATAATTTGCAAGAGTAGGCCATTGTATGCTATCTTCAGGGTCCAAATTTTCAAATTACCCACACATTACTCAATTGCGATTATACATAACAATCGTTGCCCCCCTATTGACGGACTAATTCTCCAGGTCACTCTTGCAAACAAGACTCATCGTGGTCTATTGACTTCTCCTCACCTGGATAAACAAAGTGAACTTTAAACTTGAATGGGATCAACAGGCAAATGAGAAACCTGCGCTGTGATGTCACTCACTCGACTACCTGGCAGAATGATATCAAGCAAATATATTTTAGCATATTCCCTTGTCCAAATCATCCAGGATGCACGCAACCTATGCTACGATGAGCGATCACCATGCTTAACAGCTATTGTAGGCCACAGGGCTACGTTGTGATCAACAGAGGACAGTACAGCAAATTCCATTGCTGTAATGTACGTCTCTACTGCCACCCCGATGCCTGCCGCCTTCACCAACCTGCACTTCCCACGATGCACCTGTCGAGCCTGAAGTGGTACGCGATGGATACACTCAGTACAGAAGACTGTTCCGGGAATTAATTTTCCATGCCACATCAATGATACTGTGTTGTTGGTGCATGCGGTGGTGTGCAAAGACGTACGTGTGAATAGTGCTTGCGTTACCACATGCACTGAAGGACAGTGTGTCATCTTATTATTGATAGGCATACTTTGTACTCTCGTGGTAGTGCCTCATGCCAATAATCCTTACTCCAAGCCAGCCGAGCAGTATTCCCGGAATTATAGCGTGAGAAATTAAGCCCTGAGTACAATGCATGCACTGCATCCACTTTAATGGATTAGATATGATCAGGTCACATCAAAGCAGAATTTTTGCCCTGCTCAATCAAGCAATAGCACAGTGCACATATGTTGGCAACCTTAAGTAACTTATGTAAATTCCACATTCCCATGGCAATGGTCAGTCTCTCTATAAGTTGATGACTGTTGTGATGGTTATTTGTGAAAGAACGTCTCATTAATTCTGAATATTCTTTTTCAGGAGGGTTCTCCATGGGATATTTGGTCAAATAATTGTTTTAACATGTTTTAATATGTAACGAAAAATGAGAAAATCCAGAGAAACCCCACTCAAATGCTGGCGGCACATTCAAGCTTAAATGGATCTCCGAGAAAGTTTGACACCCACTTGCTGTGCTGCTTTCTTTGAGAACGTCATCATCCTACTTATCAGTGTCTAATTCTGAAATATATCATAATCAAAACTTATACACGAAATAAAAGCATTGTATTTTATGAAGCCATTGCGATCCAATTGTGTGATGGGCACGAGGAGGCACCTAAACAAATACCCCCAACAGTGGCGTAGTAACTCAATTATCAGCTCAGGGGGTGCGCCAATCAGTCAGGAGGGACCCCAATTTTTGATTTGCGCATTTGCGGAAGCCAAAACGTTGCCGCTCTGATAAAAAATTTAAGCAAAAATTGTATCGTAAATTAAAGCATTTTCATTAAAATAAATATCAACCCCGTTTTTATTCCATTACATTGTTGAAAACATATCTCATGGTCACTGGTGGGGGGGCACGTGCCACCCCCCCAATGATCCAATCGAAATCCCTAATTTCGATCGGATCATTGGGGTTTATTAGTAATAAATCTGCCTTTGCGACCCCCACTGCCACTGTGTAGTCTGAGTCCATAATTGGCAATAAGTAACGGCAAAGCATTTACAAGTGACTCACAAAATTGTGCGTAGTTGCATATACAGTATACGACTTCCCTGAAGGCATTCACTTTCAGCGAGCGCGATGCCGATCACACAACGCGGTTCGAATTCGACCCTCGATCGATGTCTGCGCCATCGCCGCACACGCGTCGAATAAAAAGCAAGAGACAAGTCCTTACTTACTAATAACTCCTATCATTTTTCATTGCTGGAGGGGTTGCCCCCTCTACCTGAAAATCCTGGCTCCACCATTGCTCGTGGTGATTGTCAAGGCAGGCCCCAACTCGTAACTTTGGCCACCAGGGCGGGCCAGGGCACCCCCTGCCCCCACGCTAGTTGCGCTGCTGCCTCTCATAAAGACCCTGTCTAAGTCAACATTGTGCCAGCAAAGGAGTTGCCCCCTGAGCTAGGTTGTGTGCCATTTATTGTATTGCGATGTAAGCCCTGCTCATGCCATCACCAGTGGCCCGTGCTACCCTGTTATAAGTCTGCGAGCACGCACCCAACTAGGCAGTGTTCATAATCACACATGTGGCTTCAACACACCGGTGGGCTAAAGCAGTGAACTATTTGTCTTTGTCAACGTGACACATTTTTACTGATTGGCCGTGTCGGGTGGTGGAGGGTTACGACACATTTATAAATAAACGCGATCTAAACCCAAAAACGTTGATTATGAATAACATTGGTCGCGAAAGCCTATGTGTTAAACTAGGCAGTGTTTATCAGCATTCACCTATCAACACCAAACACTAGCAAATCCTTCTAGCTCATTCCCGAGGTGAGTTTCCCTGCCATTTATATCGCTCACCAAGCTGCCAGTCAGGAGGCCCGTTTGCTGAAGAGACACATGACTAAAACGCACGTGATGTCGGAGCAAATAGAGCCAGGTTTAGGCAGGGTCAACCAGACGGAATTGAGACCCATAAAGCCCAAACCCACTTCACTGTTGGGACCGCAGTGTGGGACACAAACCCACCACACTGTGGGACAAATGGGAGGGATGAGTTAACTCACCTTTACCTTGCTGCTGCACCTTGGGCTCGGCCGTGTAGTTCCGCCCAAAGATGTGCCACACGGGTCGCAGACACCCGAAGAGTCCGTCCAGGATCCCACCGCCCGTTGAGCGGTTCTGCAGCATGCGTATCCGCACTCCAGCACCAGCGGCGCCGCCGGCGGTTCCGCCGACTCCGGCTCGGCGTGGCTCCTGCCTCACCGGCCCCGGAAGTACGTCCTTCCCATCGTTGTCATCTTCGTCGTCGTCATCGTCGTCCTCGTCCCCGGCGTCGCCCGATGCCGTGGCCTCTCCCCCTCCTCCACCGCTGCAGCCACCGGCCGTCCCCACCGCCTTGTAGTAGTCATCGTCGTCGTCATCGTCGTCCTCGCCTTCCCGCACGTCCTCATACGGGTGCAGCAGCTTGTGCGTCATCTGCATGCAGTCATCCTCCACGATGGCCGGCAGCAGAGCATTGTCTGTCGTGGGCACCGCAGCTGCCTCCTCGGTTTGCGTGTCCAGGGTCGAGCAAGGCAGGATGGGCTGGGGCGACCGGCGGTGGTGATGGTGGTGCTGATGGAGGTGGTGGTGAAGGTCACTCACTTCCTTGCACGGGTCTCCGAGGTCGGGCTCCTCCTTGGGGTTGGAGGCTTCCGAGTGGCGGTCCGAGCAGTCGTCGATCTCCTCCAGGTACTTTATGATGCTGCTGCGCGAGCGAAAGACGTCCGAGTGGCACTCGTGGAAGATCTCGTGCTCCGAGGATTCTCCGCTGGCGCTGCTGCGGTGGCGCTCCTTGCGCGTGTCATGCAGCAGCAGGCTGTGGTCCGACTCGCCGCTGGCGCTGCTGCGCACCCGCTCTTTGCCCGATGAGCACGAGTCTGACCGCGACTCCAAGCGCCACTTTCGCTGGTCTGTGTCCCCACTGCTGCCGGCCACCTTCCAGCGCTCTAGGTCAGATATGAGGCCCTGCTCCGCACCCCCGGTCATGCTCCTTCGCATCCTGGACCCACCGTACGTCCTGAGGTCTGAGAGGAGCTCGTCCTCCTGGCTGTCCTTGGAGTCGCCACCTCCGCCACTGCCCTCATAGCTCCTCCTGCGTGCGATTTTCGTGCAAAACTCCTGGAAGCGTTTGCTGTGCTCGGAGTCCTCGACTGCATCACTCCGGATCAGCTCCCTCCGGAGGGGCCGAAGCTCGGTGGATGAGAAGCGGCTCTGCTGGAAATAACGGCCCTTCTTGGACCGCGTGTGCCTCTTCCGCATCGGCTGGAAGTCAAAGCAAAACTCATCGAGGTGGTCGCTCTGCTCCGACTCCTCGTCGTTCGAATGTCTCCGCGGTTTCTCCATGCAGGGTTCCTCCGTCGACATTGGCGGCTCAGTGCTCTCCGCATCACCACCGATCGCCGATTCTCTGATGGCGCATAGTTCGGGCAGCTCTGTCCCTACTGCCGGCTCAGGGGGCAGCAGCACCACCACCCGGCTCAGGGCCTCATCCTGCTGCATGGCCATTATGGCTGTCGGGCAGTAAATCATACCACGTCAGGCCAGAGGCATCCCTAACCTGGACAGAACAACGACAGGAAGTAAGATTGCGCACGATGTTAAACACATTCCAATTTACCCAATAAAATGTTACTGGGTCTCCAAAACTATTTTTACATGGGTCCTGCTTGTGATGTTTGGCCTATTCATTATGAGGGTTGAACACTTAAAGTCAATGCAGGCAGGGCATCAATCTTGTTAGAATGCCTCCTATAGGCATATTTACAAGTAGATGTCGCATTTAATCTCTGCATGTTCCACCAATCCTGCTCATTGCCCTCAGACTTGGCCATTTGGAATTAACTATGGTTCCTTATTTTATTGCATTTTGACTTGTAGATATACATGTTCAAGCATTTATTCATGGATAGTTCCTTAGTCTATATTAGATCACATCTTGCCTCGGTAAACAAAAAATACAGCAATACCTTTGAAAGGAACCCAACAACGTGTTGCAAAAATAATATACGGAGGTGACACTTTCACCACATCTCCTTCCTGATATGTGCAATAAAAATGACTACCAGTTAGAAAAAAAAATTTGAACAGAGCATTTTAGCCTTTTCTGAGCCACAAGCTGACACCCAGTTTCATGCAGGGCCTTATGGAGGCCACCCGCACAGTGCCGCCCCACATGCCGCCTCATTGTTCATCTTTTTGTCACCATTCGGAGCATCAGCCATCAGTCGAACCAATCACACTACTGACAGTATCTATAAAACGCACGTTGACATATTCCCACCTCCCCCACCCGCCCGCCCGTCTGCCTAACAGGAGAATCTGTTTAATTCGTTACTGCTCGAAGGTGAGTTTCTGTCTTATTTGCATCTGCAATACTGGGGCGGGGGGGGGGGGCCTTGGTTATGCAAGATGCTCCTATTCGCTGGCAACCAGGTCTGTGCCGGTCCCACGGGACCGTGTAGCCGCACTGTACGGTATAATAATGAAGTGAGAATCCCATGGGAAGGAACAGGAAAATAGCGCACGGAGCCCAACGCGGCTCCAGATGGGCACTTATCTGTGGCTCTGGTCGGCACCGCCAAGAGCCACGGCGATGCGATAATGAAAGAGCATTGAGCACGGCTGCCGTTTCACTCGAGCTGTCCGCTGCTGCCGAGGTTTATCCCCAAATGTTCTGCTCCAATGACAAGCTCGTGCCGTAAAGGACGGTTAAACTGCAGTGTGTATAAATGTGACAATTGTACGGGCATTTACGAAATGAATTAAGATTATGGTATAAATGTGAACATTCATGCGCTATGTGTATGCACATCACTTACACGTGTATGCATATGTATGTGCATATGAACATACTGTGTATATATATAAATCTAATTTGGTTAGCTGGTTAACTAATGGACTCTGTGAATTGTCATTGTATCCTCGTAGCTATTAATATTTACGTTGCGTATTGGTTTGCCACGGGAGATACTTAATTGTTTGTTTTGTTTATCAGGACATAGGTCGATGAGTATGATATTAATATTTGTCATACTAGTTTTAGAATAGCATATTCTTGAGAAGGCGCATATGCATGCGCATATGCATGATAGTATGCAAAATAACAAGCTAAATTGTTCATTTGCATGCTAATTAATGTATGCGGGCACCCATATTTATGGAGATTGTATGTAGATGCACTGCACAGGGATTGCCTTCTGACCTTAACCCAAATAAGACTGATCTTAATTGAATGCACCTGCTTGGGCAATAAATTATCAGGTTCTATGAAGCATTAAGGGCAGGAAAAAATGTTTTATAATGCGACCATATCACCATGGCATTGATTGAAGACAACAACATTGCACAGATCTATATTTTGATTATGCAAAAAAAAATGTTTTTACGGTTGCTGGATTTTTCTTTAGTTGTTGATTATTCCAGGGAATAATTTAACACATATGGAGGAGAGTTGTGCTGGGCACAACACGAAGCTTGATCCACTGTGAGATACTGGGTGAAATTCCAGACAGCCACTGCCTGCGATTAATCTTGGGTTTCAAGATTAAAGAGTCGATGATTGTAGCCTCGTCGATAATATTCGGACAAAAATTACACGAAGTTTGGTTGCTTACCTAATTTGGCTACAATTCTAACTCTGAGAATTAAACACAGTTTCCCATGGAGTTAACAGTTTTTTGTTTCTATGTAGCAGGGTGCGTGGGACTGCACACTCGAGTGTGTGTACATAAAAAGGTCACTTTAATAGCTCTCAGAAGTAGTTATGTTCTAACCCCTTCTGTGGGTAATTCTCCAATGTGGGATGATGATGCACTGTTGTGCAGGAGTTTAGAATAGGCACATTGTGTCTTGAGATGACACTGATAATACAATTGGAGTAAAACTGTGGACAAAAAACATAAATATTTCAATAATCATTGCTCGGTCAACAGAGCCGCACGACTCTCAGTTATAAAATCACGATTTCAAACCAAAGTTATCTCAGCGCTTCCTCATTCAGATGAGTAGGGACTCATAAAGCTGCACCATTTAGCGAGAAATGGAGTGGGGTTTTTTCTATGGAGAGATTGAGCCTCACCATATTCCTCAGTTAAATTGTTTAAGGATCACTGTTGAATTCTGCATACATAGGCACATTTGGCATTTTGTGCACAAATTGCAATGTGTGAATGTGCATTCTACCAATTGTATTAATGGATGCATTAGGAAGTTTTATCAATGGCCCGGTTTAGAAAGTAAAGTGCATTCAGTAGATGACCCGAGGTAAAAACAAGTTTCAGAGGATTGAAAATAAAAGAAGCATTTCCACAGAAGACAGCAGGCTCATATGTCAGAGGAAAGCAAGACCTTTGGAAGGCACGACCTCAAGCTGAGATATTATGTGTATAAATACAAAAGTGGCTTTCATTTTGACCTTCGAGCTGAGTCAGAATATAGGCTGGATTTTAGTAAAAAAAAAACAAGAGGCCCAGAGTGCTTCAGCATTTCCTGTGCTCGGTCACACTTTGTAAATGGGCAAATAAATACATAATTCGATCAAATCAATAAATCAATGAAACAGTAGTGCTGGAGTGGGGCAGTTCACTGAGCTCACGTACGACCGCATACACGCGTTTTGCGGGCGGCCTGTGGTCTGGTGGTCCTTTAGCGTGAAATTGAAGAAGGGGCACAGGATTTAGCAATGGGGCGGTTTTGCATCATCAGGAGATTAGCACACACAGGTTTGAAGAGGGACAATTATCTTACGAGCTATTATCGGTTTGTGTAGTGATGTATGCCGGTTTTCAGGAGAGCATTTTGTTTGTTCTATAACAACGCAGCGGTGGACAAAGGACACTAGTGGCTCATTGCTGTCCCACCGAATACCTTCCGAAAGCAACAGACGTACTGCTCCTAAGAGTAGGCCGCTGTGCTTCGTCATCATGGACAGTGGCAGCGATTAAAAAAGGCAGCCAACTCCTACCAGGCACTCCAATTTGCCTAAACCAATTTGCGAACAGATACTGTTGATATAGAGGCCCTCGTATAAATAGCCATGTCTTACAATGTACTTACCATTAGATTTTCTGATAAATGCAGCTTCTCGTGCCCCAATTTATTCTGCAAAGTTTAACTTAAATTACTTAGCCTCCCTAGAACTGAGGGTTACAATCCTTTTTTTTTTTACAAATGATGTGTATGTATGATTCATAATTAGTTTATTTTGGGTTTAAATCATGAATTTATAATGCTAATCTATTTAGCAGTAACCCTCCATCACCCGACAAGCGAATGAAAGCAAGTTTTTACATGGCCGAATAGGCGAATTGATTTGGTTATTCACCAAATGAAATGTTGAAAAGCAAGCACACTTTGCATGCAGGCCAATAGAGATATAAATAATGCCATGATGATTCCTTTCTAATGTTTTTTTAATCAAATGTGGATTGATATTAAAGCGATTGCATTAAAACGCGAACAATGGAAGGAATAAAGCGTTTTTTGAAAGCTGAATTTCGTTGATAACAGCAGCAATGTGCTGTAAGTAGAAAGTTTGCAACTGTCACCTGTAACGTATCAATTAGAAACATAAACACTGACAAAGAATACTGAACAAAAGCTGAAAAGTGCACAAAGGAGTATGGACAGATGCATTACTTCGACTCACACTGAAAAAGGAGCACATCGAACAGGAAACAGACAGAAATCAAACAATATTAAGAAAAGCACTGTAGATTGGCTGGTCCTCAACACATCGCTAAAAGGATTGAAGGCAATAGATAGACTGGAATGGCAGCCAAAGGACAACCACTGCAGAGATGAAGTGATGAGATCAGTTCATATATAAATGGATTGTTTTTGGAGGTCATGTATGGATGTATGAACTTCTTTCGAACTGTACGTAGCCACTCATGCTAATCGGAGGTGCGGGGGAAGGACAACAAACTAAACACAAAAGCAGTTAATCAATGGCTACTACTGCTGTTGCTGATGTTGCTGCTGCTTATTATAAAGACGATCATTCCAGCAATGGTGGGCCTGATGATGATAAGAGGCTGGACTTTTGGAGAAAGCAAATGAAAGATTGTCCATGAAGATGGCAGGGTGTATTGGTGAACACCAAGCTTTAGAGGGCTCTTGGATACACACAATTGGCTGCCATATTGTGCGTGCATCTGTGCCATCCAGAGCACCACTACTGTTAACACACATTCTACTCAGCTGAATTATTTAAAAGGGCCCTCTCTCCGCTAAGTCGATAAACACTCATATGCACACACGCACACACTCAAGTGCACACGTATGCATGCACTGGACAGGGTGGCATGAAATAATAATCATACATTATGGATGGGGTTTTTTACACTTATACTCTCGTAAATTGCAGCAATGTTCTTAAACTTTCTGACACCATACACTGCCCATCCACAATTCTGTTCCTAATTAATCCATGCAACATTAAATATTGGAGGAAGGTAGAGGTCGCGTGAGTTGTAGGGTCAATTCGTAACCTTCCTATTTGAACATTTTAGATGGGAAAAGGTACAGAGGTAATGTCTGTAAATGTGATCATAGTTT